AGTTCAGCACTGCACATCAGAAGAGAACTTAGCGGATATATTCACTAAAGGCCTACCAAGACCATTACATGAGTATCTATCTGCAGGTATTCTAGGAACTCGGAATTGAGGGGGAGTGTTGGGATAGCAATCCCGAGCGAGTACGAGAATGTACTCGAAGATACGATGCCAGTCAGCAGCAGCTGACTTGGATCGTGATCCGGACTTATTTAGTATCTCGTAGAAAGATCTCGAAGTAATACAAAATGTATTTAAGTAGAACGTTTCTCTCTCGAGAGGCTAATTCTAGTTCTCTGTTACATTACTCTGCTCTCTACTTACAACAGTTCTCAATCTCTATCAGCTCTGGGTCTACCATCCAGACAATAGGAAAATGGTCTGAGCCATATGACTTGCTGTAGTCTATAGCCCACTCTTTGATCACTTCCTCTCTTCTTGTCTGCTCATTAGACCATGTTAGATCAATTACTGAAGCTTTACCCCATATTACAGAGTGCAGCATAAATGTGATCTTTTCCTTCTTATTGTGTATCATATATCCCTTTTCTTCAAGCCATTGGATGATCTCTCTGGTCAAAGTTCTACAGTTTCATATGGTACCGTGTGCCCAAAGTCAGTGGTGGATGTTTCAGTCCCCCATTATAGTCACTGGGACTCCCATGGGGATGTTTAGGTCATATAGTCACCATCCAAGGCAGTCGCATGAAAGATCTGGGTCATTGTATATGTTGATAAAGATGTATCTTTTTTCTCCACATGATATGTCCAGTGTCTGTATGTCTCAGTGAGATATGATATCTGATCGGACGTTCACCTTGAATTTCCTCCCCTTCTTGATGTATAACATAACTCTTGGTGGGGGGTCATTTCTTCCCAATGATGGGCATGGTAGTAGTGGTGTCCAGTCAGGGTGGCCAATCAGCCCTTGCACTGTTCTATTAGCATCAGCTCTGATTCTTCCCCAGTTGGGTTCTTGTACTAAGAATATGTCATAGTCATTGATGTGTCTGTTGAGAATTGTGTGAATAGTCTCCTTTTTCTTGTTAGCATTTAATTGAAAAAACCATATTCAGTGTGCATTCAGAAGCCTCTGTTGTCTGTCTTGGCTTATTGTGAATTTCTGTTTGTGGTCTCACTGTGTTTGGTCTCATCTGTGATGATTTCCATGCTTGTTGCTGCGACTCCTGGGATATAGATTTGGGTGGTGAGAGCCTGGAAGATGTTGGTGCCTGATGTGGTGGGGGAGGCTGTCAACATTGGGTTGTTCTTGTCAGATGGTTTTTTCCTGCTTCTTCTACCTTTAGCTGTCTTCCATTCATCGTTTACCCCCTTTTTAGAGGGGCATGTATTGGTACGAATTTCTCCTAGTTTTAAGAGGCATTCAGAGCACCATCTTGCATCTGCAGTGTGTGCATCATCTCGTCCTTCTTTCTCCATGCAATTAGCACATCATACTATATGGTCACAGTCTGTCTGTAGTTCATCAGAGTAGCAGTTGGCAGCCTCTGCTTCTATTTTGCATCTGTCACAGTGTTTATTATGTTTCTCTTCAGGGTGTTTCCCTCCACACTAGCGGCATCATATTTTGTTCTGGCAGTTGTTCTTCATGTGACCAAAGCTTTGGCAGTTCTGGCAGTGTCACAGGGGTTTTCTGTCTGCAAATGGCTTCACTGCTATAGACCATCCATAGGCTGTGAGATACTTAGCTTTGTGGATCAGATAGTTGTATGCCTCCTCATCTGAGGTGGCAATTTTAACAGAGGAATATGCTTGCTGCTGTAGTTCGCTTTCTGGGTGCATCTATGTTGGCTTGAGTTCAAGAGACAGGTTCTGGAAAATGGGATTGTTAGCTTTCAGTTCCTCTAAGATTTCATCCAGAGAGTAGATGTGGGTTTCAGCTCCAGGCATGACAAAGTCATACGCTCCTGTTCGGACACCATGTAGCAGCAGTTTCCTCCATTTGACAGTTGTTTGCATAATGCATTCCTTTCCTTGGGTGAGGATTGGAGCAATGTAGTCACTAAATCTTAGTAGATCTGTTGCATTCTGTTCAGTGTGGAGTGTTAAGATGATATTGTCATTTGCATTCCACTTCACTGTGGTTACACAGATGTGTTTTGAGTCATCGTGTTTTGCAAGTTCCAAGTTTACCTCTTTCACTAAGGTGAGTGCATCTTTTCACTCTAGTGGATGTATCTTCTCCCCTGGGAACTGGAATACTAGTCTCGAGTGGTGGTTCAGGTCCATAGGGTTCACTGTGGGTGGCTTTTGTGTCAGATTTTTGTCTTTGTCATTTTTTGTTATGCTAGCATAAGTTTGGGTTGCATTTGGGGCACCTTGCCATTTTGAGGTGGCTGGTGAGTTTGCCAGTAGCTGATGGCCTAGATCTCTGATCTCCATTGCAGTTGTTGTTTTCATATCTGCCATGGCTCATTCAAGTCATTCTGCAATCTTCTGTGTTGTTTCTAGAGCCTTCACCATCTTTTCTGGTTGATAGTTCAGTTCTCCTGTCAATAGGTTCAGTGGTTGTTGGTTTTTCTTGATAGTCGTCCTTGGGATGTCCTAGTGATCAGTCTTAAGTTGGTGTGCACATTCCAGAGCTTTATCTATGGCTCTCTCAAGTGCTTGTGGTCTCTTTAGGCTCTGTATGCTGTTCCAGCTGTTATTGGGAATGTACTGTATTGTGTCGTCATGGTCACCAAGCATCTGGTCATCCTCCTCCTCCAGATCTTCATCAATTGATTCTATTGTTATAGTCTCCATGGGTTTTGGGTGGCCCAAGAATATGTCCTTGGTTGTGTCCGATCCCAACAGGGTCACATGGTGTTGGTTTTCGATGTGGCCATGAGTGTTCAGATTCAGGGTGAGGGATCTATTTCTATCATCAGTGGTGCTTCTTCCTTGATGTGTAGTGTTAGATGGGTATGGGGTGGTACCATGTTAGCACCTACTTCCAGGATCCTTCTGGATCCCACAAGCTCTCTGTCCAGCTGTTGAATCAAGGCTGCCCTTTTTCTTGGTTGGGCAGAGGAATTTTGGAATGGAAGAGATTAGTTTTCTGTGTTTTTAGAGGGTTTTAGATGGTGATTGGGGGTTGCTTTCACTCATTTTGTGCCTACTTCAACCTCTATATTCACCTATCCGGCTTTTGTCTGCCTCTAATGGTGTGGGAAATCCAGTGGTGATAGCAATCAAGAGTAAAGAAGGACTTGACAAGAAGAGGAGTGAGTGCTGTCATTATGATGGAAGAAAAGGAGAGAGGGATGGTGACAAACTCGATGAGCCCACCCAATATCTGAGTCATCACATTCTGAGTCATAGCCTCTTTCCTTCCTTGCCCCTCAATGTCCATGCAGCCCTCTATATAACAGTGTTCCTCTTTTTGTCATTGCGCCTCTTTTTCCAGGACCTTTATCTCTCCAGGCATCAAAGAAGGGAGATAGTGGGAACAGGCACAGAAAATGGTTCTGTTTTCCCCTCGACCTTGTATTACTGCTTTGCTGACTATCACCAGCAGAATGCTTGTTCCCTTTCCTCATTTCTTGGTCTGTCTGTAATGGCACCTAACATATGGACTGCAAAGCACAAAATTCAGAGTTAGCTAACCTATTGGTTTGGGATGGCAAGTATGCATCGTCCTCACTGCTTTACTATCCATTTAATATTGACACTGGTGCCCAAGATTTTAAGCTATTCATTCTGTCAGAGCTGCACAATGTTCCAGCATGGATGACAAAATCTCTGCATGAACTGACCTAGTCAGCGCCACTCCCACTAGAAATTCAGATTCTCTGTCAGCATATGGCATGTCTGCAAAGCAGATATATGCACTTGAAAGGACAGATTGGGATGCATATATATGCTCTTTGTATGCTTTTTATAAGGGTGAGAGTGCTGCAGTATCCTCAGTGAATTCCTGTCATCAATAACAAGGCCAGTTCTTTATGCGACCACATCATTCAATAACAGAAAAACCTATTCATGATGAATATACCATTGACTTTCAGTGCACTGATGTGAATGATATTCCGTTATTCAGTTCTCAGCCATCATGTGGAGAAACCCATTCTCAATCGCTTTGAGCATATTTCAGACAATATCACCATCCTTTCAAATGAACACTTTCCTGAGGGTATCTTTACTGTGGGACCCCAGTACATGCTGCCTTGCTCCAGCATCAGTGCTATCAATTCATCCTCGAGGTCGACAACATACCTGTTCTCTTTCTAGAGATATACTTTGGGCATGTATCAAGGAGATGCAGTAGATAACCATTTGAGGAACAGATTCTTTAACTCCCACAACCTGTGTTGTGCTCTGAGGTTGTATGAGAGCATTGCCATGAGAAGAGACTCTCTGTCTATACCACTCATGGCTTTATCACACCTGAGCTCCTTCCTTCATCATTCACTCATGCTACAAATGTGGCTCTGCCATTACAACAGGATCTAGATGTCACAATGCAGGAAGGCTACTAGATGTCCATGTCAATTATTAATGATGTGAAGCAGATGGTTCAAGGGCTTTGATCCTATGTAAATCATGTACCTTTGACATCCTACCCACTGTCTTCCCATATTATCCTTACAAAAGAGGGAGAAATTTTCATCAGTTGCTTGAAATCAGAGATAGTTGCAAAGATCATTGTGTCAAGGAATGGTTGGTAGTGCATCCATCTGAGCACACATGTATGGGTTCAACTTCCACCCAGATATGGATCATGAAAATATCATCATGCTCAAATTTTAATTCATTTTTGCAACCATGCAGAGAGTATCTCAGAGTTGTTCCATTGTTCTCTTTCATACCGGAAAGATGAGTACAAGACAAGAGACAAAAATCCAATATCTAAAATCAAAATGAATTTCCATTTGCAAGTAACCAGCTCCAATCATGTTGCTCAGAAACATATCATTGCATATACTAGCCAAATACAAATAATCCAGCTCACCTTGGAAGTTGTCTATAGAACAGGTTTAAATGATCCATTTGCAGTATGAGCATGAAAATGCACACCTTGATGGCTGTTGAATATAGATGTCCCTGCCATAGAGTCGAATTTGAGCTGAAAGAAAAACAATGGTTGCTCGAATTTTATTGAGAGCAGGTTGCATAGTGCAGCAGGAAAAGCCAGGTCTGGAGTTGAAAGTCAAAAGCTAGTAAGCATTGACTTTCAATCTCCAGTATTGGTAGCTATGATTATGTAAGATAAGAGCAACATGGAGAGTGTGCTACTTTAACACTCCCCCTCAACTGAACATGTCTACAGAGATATTGAGACAAGTCTGAGTAAGGTAATCATATGTCTGAGCTTCTCTCTTCCTAATCCCTTTGTCAAAGCATCAGCTGGCATATTTTTGGTTTGTAAGTGGACCACATGGATGCACCCTTTTTCAACTTCATCGTGCAGCCAATAGAATCAAAGGTCAAGGTGTTTGACCTGGCCATGATGTTCAGGGTTTCAGGCAACTGACAAAGCAGACTCATTGTCGATATAGAGGTCTGAGGCATTGGTGAGTGAATAGCCAAACTCTGTGAACAAGTTGTGAAGCCAAAGGATTTCCTGACCAGCAGACATGGCTGAAACATATTCTGCCTCTGTTGTTGAGATCATCACGAATGCCTGAAGATGACTCATCCAGCTAATGGCTCTAGTACCCATTTTGACAATGAAGCCGCTTGTAGAATGCCCACTATCTTTGTCACCCCCATGATCTGCATCACAGTAAGTCTTGAAGTCAAAGACTGACGAATCTGACTCAGAGTCAGGAGAGTAGACAATGCGATAGTCGACTGTGCCCTTCAGATAGCATAATAGCTGTTTGAGAGCTTCTCAGTGGGTTGTGCCAGGGTTTTTGCTGAATCGTGAGAGTATGCTCATGGGATAGGCAACATCGGGCCTGGTAGCAATAGCAAGGTAGGCCACAGAGCCAAGCACATTCAGGTATGGGATTGTCTGCATTGTCTCATATTCCTCTGGTGTTTTGGGAGACTGATCTGCTGTAAGTTTTATATTTGGATCCAAAGGTGTCAGAACAGGGTTGCAGTCAGCCATTCCTGCACATTGCAGAATATCTAGGGTGTATTGGCACTAGGAGAGAGTGTGTGTTTGGTTGGCTGGGTCATGCTTGATCTCGACACCAAGGAGGTAAGACATTGGACCCAAGTCTCAAAGCTTGAAGTGCTTCTTGAGATCGTTGATGACCTTTGTAACACCATCTGGTGTCTTTGTGGTGATAGTCATATCATTGACGAAGACTGAAATGATGATTCGCTCACTGTCCCTCTTGTAAACCCAGACACTATGCTTGCATTTTACCTGTTCAAAGCCCATGGCATTGGTCAATATTGCATGTAGCTTTTTGTGCTATTCTCTCCCAGCTTGCTTTAGTCCATATAGAGACTTGAAGAGGCACCAGACCCATTCCTTTCCTTTTTTCTCAAAACCTTCTGGCTGCTTTATATACACCTCTTCTGTCAGCTCACCATTGAGAAATGCTGATGAGATATTGATACTCCATAGCTCTAAATCCTTGAGGGCACCAAGTGCCAGGATGGCTCATAGAGCAGCCCATTTTGGCATTGGAGAGAAGGTTTCAGTGTAATTGAAGCCAGGTTGTTGTGAGTATCCCTTTGCAACAAGTCTTGCTTTATAGTGCTCAATTGATCTATCAGCATTGCATTTCACTTTGAATATCCAGTGACTCCCAACTGCCTTTCAATTTGGAGGGCATTTCACCAATTCGAAGACACCATTTTCAATGAGTGCCTGTATCTCTTATATAGCAGCTTCATACCAACTTGCAGCTTCCTCTGGAGAGCATTTCATAGCTTCATGAAAGGATTTAGGTTCAATATCATGTGTAGATGCCTTGTAAGCTGCTTCTGTCATGCTTTCAAATGCAACTTCCAGTCCTTCCTCCATCATCAAGTGCTCAATTGTCTGGCTGGAGAAAGCTATGCCTTCAAGAATAGTTTTGTCTTCCATAAACGCTGTGTGTACTTGATCCTCTGCATCTCTTGCATGATCATCATTGTTACAATTTCAGTGCATTCCATGACCATAACCAGGGCTGAGATCATATAAGCCATCATCACGTATTCTGTATTCATGTTTGCCTAGGTCTGTTGGAGGTGGTGGTAATGATGATGGAGTTAGGTCTGAGAGAGATCCATTGAATGGTGAGCCAGGAGGAGTCATAACATCATGGGGAAAAGGTGATACTGGAGGTGATAGGCTTAGAGGAGGTGAGGGATTTAGTGCTGGAGGATTTTCTGGAGGTGGAAGATCATCATTATTAAGGTCTCCCTCTTGATCAGGCAGCATAAGAGAATCTGACAGATTTGAGAGTGGAGAAAATAGATCACTGAAAGGGTTGATAAGAGTTTTCATATTTCCTGAGAACACTCGCTCATCAAAAACAATGTGGCTTGATATGATAAACTTCTTAGTTACAGGGTTCCAGCATTTCCATGCCTTTGTACCTGATGGATATCCAACAAATATGCATTTGGTGGTGCATGGCTGAAGACCTTGTCACTTGTTCTTTTTGACATGGACATAGGCTAAGCAGCCAAAGACATGCAAGTTAGAGACATCAGGTTTCTTCTTGTGCCAGCCAGTGTATGGTGTTGTTTTAGGAAGTGGTGCTGTAGGACAACAGTTGTGCACATATACAAATGCAAGCACTGCTAGTCCCCAAAAAGAGGGAGAAAGATGAGCTTCATAGAGCATAGTAATAGCCCCTTCAGCGATATCATGATTTGCACATTCTGCAATTCCATTTTGATGAGGCTCATCAGACTCAGTATGACACCTTGATATCCCTTCTTCTATGCATAACTGATCAAATTCACAACCCATATACTCTCCTCCACCATCGTCTTGCTCCTCTAAGATCTTCAGACTATGAAAATTTTCAGCATAGGCTTTGTAGCATTTAAATTCAGCCAGAGTGTCGCTCTTGTGCTTTAGCAAGGCAACAGCCCAAAAATGCAGAGCACCACATATAAAAGTGATCCAGTAGCGATAACCTTCTGGTGTAGCAACTGGCATAGGTCCCTTAAGATCAGAGAATACAATTGCAAGAGAGCATGTTGGAAGGAGTGAGAGGCCTCGAGGAATATTATGTCACCTGTGCTTGCCCATAAGGCAAGGTTCACAAATTGGATCAGGATTGGATTGCATATTGTTCATCTTCATATTTAAGACAAGCTGATTCTCGTACATGTCCCAGACAATGTTTATGCTTCTGTGACAGGTTCATTGATGCCATAGGGTCAGGTCAAGTGGACAGGTGCTTGCAGTACTTGAGGTTACCAGCCTTGTAGTGCCAGTAGTGCCATTAAGATATCCAATGTTGTTATCATTGACAGTAGCTGAGAAATGAAGTGCTTTGTCTTGAAAGAACTGGACCAATGACCCGGCTATGTTGATCTCATATCCCTTATGACATGTAAGATGAAAGGGTGAAAGCAAGTTATTGCGAAGATCAGGTATATGCAGTACATCCTGGAACTTGACAGCCTCACAGACCTCTCCATTCTTCTCTTTAGGCTCAAACACAACTGTCCCCATGCCTGCTGAATAGATGATTGAATTGTCCACTAACCAAATCAGAACCACATGTGGTGTCCAGACATGAAACCAGTCTCGATGATGGCTCATGTGAGATGAAGTGCCTGTGTCTGTATTCCAGTTAGATGATGCTGGGGACAAGAGATCAATACTCACTTGGCTGGCAGTCTCTTCTGCGATGTTTGACTTCTCTGTCTTTGCCTCTCCTGCCTTCTTGCCTGATTTTGTATTCCAACGTTCCTGGACATGCTGTATAGCTCACTCCTTGGCTTTCTTTTTGCTGAAACACTCCTCCTTGGTATGTCCAGAGTTGGTGCACCAGCTGCAGATGGTGTCAGATGATGCCACATGAGTGGCTTGGACTCTGACAGCACTCGCTTTGAATGATGTTGCTGAAGTGGTGTCGTGAGAGCAGCACTGCATCTCTTTGGTGTGGAAGGTGGCAATGAGTTTGTCAAGACTGAGGGAATGGAGGAGAAGGACTGATGACACAAAATTGTCATAATCAGATGGGAGGGCACAGATGAGAGTCATGGATTGAAGCTCTTCATTGAGTTGATCAATGGTGAACTTTTCAGGGCAGAGTGCTTTGATATCTTGTATAGCTTGTGAGACATGTCCAACGAGAGTAGAGAGAGACTCTTCATCATCCTTCCGAATGCTGAATAAGGCATCATAGGCATTGAAATGGATGCCTGGTTTTTGCTGTTGGTGAATGTCTTTCAGTTTCAACCACATAGCTGTGGGCTTACCCATGAGGAGACTGATATGAGCATGCTGTGATTCATCAATGCAAAGCCAGAGGTATCCTGCTGCAGATGAACGAGCTTGAAGGTAAGCTTTTGTCTCCTTCTTTTCGAGCTTTGTGGGTTCACTGGGGTCGGCTTGCTCTGGTGTCTCCTCGGTGCCATCGAAGTGGCCGAATAGCCCCTTGATGCACATGTAGGCCTCGAACGAAGGTGCAAAGTGGTTCCAGTTGCCAGCATGGAGGTTGGGAAAACCACGTTTGGTGGTGTCGACGACGTCTGAGTCGTTCATCGTGGTGTGAGAAAAAAAGAGACCGTTGGGGTTAGAGAGTGTGTGGAGGCCCGTGATGGGTGGATGCGACTTCCAGATGGATAGTGATGTCCCTTAGGAAAGTGAGCGAGACTTCGACATCTAGTGAATGGTTCGCGAGAGGGAACGGAAAAAATTGCTTGGCTTAGTAAGGCACGGGGCCCATAACCTGTTGAGAGCAGGTTGCGTAGCGCAGCGGGGAAAGCCAGGTCTGGAGTCGAAAGTCAAAAGCTAGTAAGCGTTGACTTTCGATCTCCAGTATTGGTAGCTACGATTATGTAAGGTAAGAGCGACATGGAGGGTGTGCTACTTCAACAAATTTCAGGTCACAGGACCGGTCGATCCTCTCTGGCGCGGCATGGTTCGTGTCCTTTCTACAAGGATACATCGTGCAGATGAAACCAGGAGTTTCTGCAGAATACCCTTCAAATACTTATCGGAAGAACGAAACAAATTGGACGTACCTTGATCGTTTGCGGCGGACGTGTGAAGCAAGTGCCACAGGATTAGACACTAGGTCCGGAGCGGAGCTTGATTTGACCAACTGGTAGGTGGGTGTGAATGCGAGCAAAAGAGAAGACCATGAAGACCAACTCTTGGCGAAACCGGGGAAGGAGGACGGTCCTATTCATATACGCGTGGCGGGCCAATCGAAGAAAGAACTCGATTGCGGAGAAATGTTGTCGTACATGCGCCAGGTAGTGATTCATACCAACCTAAGAGATAACACTAGATAACGCCGAGCCTGGGCAATTAATCTTGAATGAAGAAGGATACAACTTGGTCGTGGTTTGCCAGACGTAAAGGCTCGTCTTCAGGGCTGGTCATTTCAAATTAGTACAATGACCATACCAACTTGCCAGCTTCCAATGAACTCACCCCACGGCATACAGGACTGGGAGGCACCAGTATCGGAGGTCCGAGATTGGACCTATACCCTAGTGAGTACGATCGCATATACCGAGGAGTCTTCACCGATCGCCACATTGCAGATCGAGGTCTTAGGATTCGAGAATGTTGTAGCTTTGAGGGACAGGGCTATGGAGACTCCTCTGAGCGAGAGGGATGTGATGCTGTTTGTCTGCGAGGGAGATTCTGGTGAGTGCAGTGTACTGGTACAGAAACTGGAGAGCTCATTGGCAGTAGAACAATCATATGAAGGTCACCGAGCAAGTTATGGTCTGGAGGAATAATATTGATGTCGTACCGAGCTCTGCGCCACCTATACATCCCTTCGATTCGCGTCGACGTGTGCTCTCCATTCTGAACGATGACTCCTACGTTCCCGGCGAGGCTCCAGACGACACACCGACACTCAATGCTCGTGAGTGGGACAGGTGGTTCCTTCTGACGCTCCTCGGCAAGCAACGTTATGACGACAGGAAGGCGTCGGAGGAACGAGAGGTACTCTGGCGCACCATACACCACGACCCACTCACCGATCCCAATGACTGGTTGGACTTCATGCATAGCAAGAGGGACGACGAGACCCAACATCATCGTGCCAGTCGCGATGAACACCCCAACGATATATATGACAATATGGCATCGGTTAGCCCATAACAATCCGCAGCGCCATATCTTATCAAGTCATAAGCCAGGATTCCGCAAATAAAAATATTAAATCCCGTACCAAGGTAGTATCAGCAAGAAGCGTGCTCAAAACTGCACCAATCCTCACAGTCAATAGGACCAGAATGGGGGTATTACTTTTGTACACCATCCAAAAGCTTTTCCCATTAGCGATAAAGGTAAAGACATCATTTCATTCGCGGTAGAGCTCCAGAGTCGCCAGGAGAGACAAAAGGAAGATGACAAAAACAAGAAAATGCGGCCTTCTGTTCTGGTAGTTTTTTCGAGACAAAGCTAGACATACCAGTCAGAGTTGAGCATCGAAAGAAGTGAAAAGCATGGATTGATAGCCTATAAGATGATTTCGCGTCGTATCATGTACCGTTTCTGAACAATGCCCACCCCCTGCGGGGTAGTGCTGGGTATAGTGGTTTTCTGAGCAGACCGGAGTGGGATCGTGGCAGAGATTTGCTTCATTGAAAATAGTGCAGGGAGGTTGAGAGTAAGACGGATGATGGTCGTAAAGTGCAGGGAAGATATACAGTGCAAATGGTGGCAAAAAGACAGAAGAGTGAAATTCATCAGGGCCGCTGTAACCCTAAGCACCAATCATTGCCTGGTTGAATCGTGTATCTAGAGCGAGGAAAATGTCTTTGATCTGGCTATCGGTCAGCAGTGGTATAGCTATCTCGGGATACGTTCTAGCGATCATGATACAAACAAGGAGGGGCTATTGCCTCTGGTTGCCAAGTCACACATAGTAGTAGAGAAGGACCGCAGTTGATGTCTTCTCGATTTGGACATCAATGCTATTTTGTTCTTGATGCTGTAGAGTCATTGGGAGTGGCCATTTGAGTCCGTAGATAGGCTGTTCGAAGCTAATCAGAATCGGAAGAGAGAAGAACAAGGGTAAACGTACATGGCCCAACAAGAACAATACTCCGGGCGTTGTTGGACAGTGTTCACCCATCCCTGGCCACGTCCAGAAAGGTTTTCAGGGAGCATAGGAACCGTAGTTCTTGCCTGCCTTGGATGGTGGTTGGTGCTTCCGGCAGTGATGGTACCGAAGAGGTCGACAACTATAAGAGTAGCGACAGGGATGAGCGCAGCGAGCGAGAAGCGCGTGGGGATAATCGAAAGTTTCTTTTGAGGAATGCTGTCAACGTCCATTCCGTTTTGTCAGGACCTCAACCAGAGACGTTATCTCGAGACCTAGAGAAATGTGTAAAGACCATCGGAATAGAAGAATTGAACGAATGGCGTACCGAGAAGTTGCTCGACGTTCATTCTTCTTCGTTACTGGAGCTCTGCCTTCGCCTTTGGGGGTTCAGGACATTTCGACATGGGTCAAAGCGCATATACGAAGAGTAGAATTTTGGGAGACGTGTCACTGAATCCTAGGAGAGCTGGATGTCTTCGTATGACTCCATCGAGGCCTCCGGCAACTATCGCTGGCACGGTCCGTCATCGTCGAGTATATATGGTGGACTGCCCAGTAGCGAGTCATCCTTTTCCGACCAAAAGCAATACCTGAAGAGAGCTTTAGGAGGACGGAGATCGTAATTGCACGACGACGTACCGAGTTTTTTTTTCCACCAGTTAACGGCAATATCATTGTCACCCAGCCAAAAAATATGCGCTTTGTATTATCACCAATGTGAAAAGTACCAGTAGAGAGGAGGCAAAAGAGCCATATCTAAGTAGAGAAGCTAGAATGTTCTCGCCGGTCAACAACAAAGCGACGCCAGTATGTAGCACAAAGCACACCATTCCTTATCTTCAGCAC